TAAGCACAAGAAGCAAACAAGCAGCTAGCACAAAGTGTGATTGATCTTTTGCAGTTTGCTACGCTACGTAACGTACCGAGTAGATCAAGGAGAAAGAAAGAAAGAAAAGCTTCTTTAATTTGGTCGTGGATCCCAGTAAAGTTCAGTAGATCGAGAGGTCTGGATAAGGATGTCGGAAAAGATAAGAGATGAACTACTCCTATATACAACTACCAAGTGTCACTGGTTAATTGTATACTCCCTCCGTCTTGAAATATAGCTATTTTTAGCACAGTGTTTTGTCCCAAAATAAAACTATTTCTTCACATACCTTATCCTCTCAACCAATCACAATCACAACCAAGCTGGCAGTAGATTGCATTGCATTGGCTGCAATCTCCAGGTCAGCCAGAGCATGCATATCTCTCTCAAGATTGAATAGCCAGCAATTAGTCCACGCTCTAATTTGCATAAATCACTACTATAAAAGTGATTTTTCTATACGAGACCCCTTAATTCTTACAAACGGACTATAACTAGTGGCATCTGCAAAAATCGAGGGTCATTTTTGCATGCGGCCCGCGCATAGAAAAATCGATTTTCCCATACGGGCCTCTTTAAGACGGCCCATGCGGCTCACTTAAGCGCCCGTATGAAAAAATCGATTTTTCCATACAGGCCACTTAAGGAGGTGTATGCAAAAATAAAATTTGAAAAATTTGAAACTAGTGTATCTCACTCATATGAACTACAAATTAGATGATTCTTTTTTCTAAATGTTTCTAAAATCATGCTCTATCATTGTGTTCTTACTGCTATTATTTTGGCCATTTTTTTCTTGTGACTTTATTTTATCAATTAAAATTTTGAATTTCAAAACTTCAAATAATATTTTGAAGCAGTAATTGATTTCAGCTGAAAAAGTTATCAACAACAAAGTTGTATAACTCATCAAGATATATAACTTTTATTTTGGTCATTTCTTCGTCCGACAAAGATATTTGTAAGATTGTTCGCAAAATGTACATCTCTCTTATAGTTTTATAAACTATATAAGAGATATGTACATTTTGTGAACAATCTTACAAATAACTTTGTCGGATGAAAAAATAACCAAAATAAAAGTTATAGATCTTGATGATTTATACAACTTTGTTATTGATGAATTTTTTAGTTGAAATCAATTATTATTTGAAAATGCTGTTTGAAGTTGTTATAATTTGAAATTCAAATTCAAACTGTTCAAACAAAGTCATATAGAAAAATGACCAAAACAAAAGTTATAGATCTTGATAAGTTATACAACTTTGTTGTTCACAACTTTTCCATTTCAAATCATTTATTGCTTCAAACTATTATTTGAATTTCTTATATTTTAAAATTCAAATTTTATATAGCTCAATCAAACTTGGATGGAGAAATGATCAAAAGAAAATTGGTAGACCTCAATGATCTCTACAACTTTGTTTTTGACAACTTTTCACATGAGTTCATTTATTACCACAAAATTAGATTTAATGTTCATTTTTATCTAAAAAGTCTGATTTGCCTCCTCTCCCTCTCTACCACTTCAAAATTTCAGCAACCTTATCTCCAACCTTATCTTCTCTCCACCATTATTTCTCCTCAACCCCCCCTCTCTCTCTCTCTCACACACACACACAGCAAGGTCGCGGCGGGCGTCGGCGACACCGAGGAGGCACGCGGTGGCGGTGGCCGAGGGCGGCGCGGCGTGAGGCGGGCGGTGGGGGCGACGAATCTGGCACCGTGCGGCGGCAGGCTAGGGTTTGGGATATTTTAGATTTTTATTTTTTTTGTTTGCTGAATTTATTTTCACATGCGGCCGGTATAAGCAACCGCATGCGAAAATAGGATTTTCGCATGCGGTTGGGCCGGCCGCATGCGAAAAGGGTGATTTTTGCAGACCCTTCTCCCCCATGCGGTTGCCCCAACCGCATACAAAGATGCCTTTTGCCCGTATGCAAAAAGCCTTTCTGTACTAGTGTATTTAGAACCAGATGGAGCTAGCACAAGGTAGTAAGGGTGTGTTTAGTTCACGCTAAAATTAAAAGTTTGATTGAAATTAGAACGATGTGACGGAAAAGTTGAAAGTTTGGCCGAGTTTAGGCCCTGTTTAGTTCCAAAGTTTTTTTTTCCAAACTTCCTACTTTCCATCACATCAAACCTTTCATACACACAACTTTTCAGTCACATCGTCTCCTATTTCAATCAAATTCTAAACTTTGGGCCGAACTAAACACAACCTTAGTTCCAAACTTTTTATTCAAACTTCCAACTTTTTTTATCACATCAAAACTTTTATACACACATAAACTTCCAACTTTTCCGTCACATCGTTCTAATTTCAACCAAACTTTCAATTCTGGTGTGAACTAAACGTACCCTTTATGTGTGTAAGAATGTTTTGATGTGATGGAAAAGTTAAAAGTTTGAAGAAAAATTTAGTATCTACACCAGGCCTACCTAAATAGTGGCCATCATTCAGTACATCGCCGTCTACACGTCTAGTTGCATTGTGATCAAGTCAACTAACTCTGTCCCATATTACTTGTCTTATATGATACTAACTCTGTCCCATATTACTTGTCTTTTTGAGTTTTTTTTATCAATGTTTGATCATTCGTCTCATTCAAAAAATTTTGGAATTATTATTTATTTTGTTTGTCATTTGCTTTATTATCAAAAGTACTTTACATATGACTTATCTTTTTTTATATTTGTACTAATTTTTCAAATAAAATGAATGGTCAAACATTACAAATAAAAAGTCGAAAAGGTCATCTATTATGAGACGGAGGGAGTACAAGAGCTTCTACGAAAGCAGTAAGCTAGGTATTATTATAGGCTAATAGCTGTGGATAACCCTTACGGCGGCGTGCAAAGTAAGGTGGTCAGGTCAAGCTTCTCGCCTGGTCAGGTCTCCATGCATGCATGCCTGACGTACAAAATACACCATGTGTACTATCCTAGTCATGTCTATGTCGTATTTATACGTATGTGTTCATTTCAGTATATATATCCAAAACTAGCTAGCTAGTTGTGTGTATATATATCGATCAGCTTCCAACAAAGGCCTACATGATGATACGATGCCTCTTCCGGTCATAAATTCAAGTATGTTTACAGCAAGATTTAATCATATACTCCCTCCGTCCCTAAATATTTAACGCCATTGACTTTTTAAAATATGTTTGACCGTTCATCTTATTAAAAAATTTAAGTAATTATTAATTCTTTTCCTATCATTTGATTCATTATTAAATATACTTTTATGTATATATAGTTTTACATATTTCACAAAAGTTCTTGAATAAGACGAACGGTCAAACATATTTAAAAAAGTCAACGGCGTCAAATATTTAGGGAATGAGGGAGTACACTTTTGATATTTTGATCCGGCATTAACTTCTTAAATGCTTGCGCATATATTTTCTTTAAAAGTGTTATCATAGCATCATAAATTTAATATATAGAATTTTTAACTTATATCAAATATATAATGTTGATGGTTAAACTTTTAAAAGTTTAACTAATTAAGTCTTGTCTTAAACATCGAATATTTGTGATTAGAGGGAGCACATATTTGGGAGCAAATGTGTCTACTCCAAGTAATGTTTTTACAAAAGAAAATTAGCAAGATAGCTGCCTATGCGATCAAAATGAGAATACAAACTCCACATTAATTGTCTATGTCTATCTATAAGATAATTTTACCATCCTTAAAAAGATAAAAGATACCTAGAGGTTTCATATTTTTTTAGTGTAAAATTTAGTACCTCTAGGTACTAAGTACCTTAAGTTACTTAAAAAGTTTGGTGTAAAATTTAGATATCTGATAGTATTTTTTAAGGACTATAAAATTCCTCCTATCTATATATAAACTTACACACATGTCCACAGTTGTTCGATGATGTAAACTTGCATGTATCCTAAATAAGCCCTGTGTTTTTTATCTCTATTAAGCTAAATTAAGCCACACAATACAATTAAATTATCTCTCTGCTAAACTGACAATCAAGTTGGTTGTTCAGTACCTAGCTTGTCGCTTAGGAGACCGATTGATCTGAATATATCGAACAAATTAAGCTACAGTCAGTCAGTCGACAGGTTCTTGTCGTTCCAAGTCATGATCGATCAGTTGCTAGCTTTTGGCGAGTCTGAAAGAAATAAATCCTGGTCTTCTGGTTGTACTACAAACTTTGACACTGCAAACTCTGATGCGTACAGCTAACTAATGCTATCTATATAGAGAGCTAATTTAGTCTATTTACTCCGATTAATGCTAATATGCCGTGTCAACAAAACAAGAGATACTACCTCCCATTCAAAACAAGCCCGTACTTATATAAAGCTTTCAGGTGCAATAATGTCGATTAGTTCAATATCTTACGAAATTTCAGCGATTCAGAGTGGTTGATGTCTCGCCGGTCAAGATGCTTTTGCGTACATAATATGCTGATCTAGATCAGTTACGTTAGTCAATTTGGCATCAGCTTTGAAAAGAAATTAAACATGTAGTTTCATGACTTGAGTAAGCTAGCATTCATTTATTTATTATTATACTATAGTTATGTAAGGAGAAGCCACAAAATTTAATGTGCAAGTCATTGCAACCACAGAGTCGTCCAAAAACCATCAGATGTTGGTCACAGTAAATAACTTGTGGTACCAATATTGGGTGCTTTTGATTCAAAGGATTAGAATTGACAAACCATGGCAATTGGCAAACAAATACCACTAAGGTGATTTTCATGAACACTCTTTCTAGATATATACGGTTTTGGTTCTGTTGTAGCAGGAGGTATACTCCAATGACCACTTTGCAGGAGATCTAGATATGTGCAAATTGAAATTTGTCATTTCTTTAACTTTTTAGGAATCTGTTGTTTTATTTATCTCTCAGCTCCATTATTGCGAAACATGATTTTTTTTTACGAACGTGCAAAAAAAATTACATGTCAATATATTAGAAGAAGAAAGCAAAGTTTAGTTACACAATGCAAAAGGTTATGAGGACGTAGCCAGGGGACAAGGAAAAAAAACCCAAAAAAGTGCAAACAAAAAGGTTAGCTATTGAGAAGGAAAAAACTTCTATTGCGAGGGAGGGTGAGGTTGGGGAAACCTCAATGCCAGCAGTGCTAGCAGCAGATAATCGCAGACGGTCTTTTTGGAGGATGGACTCAAGAACTACTAACCGAAGAGCATGGAACATGTATAATAATGTACCTTTGATCCAACGGCCGGTTTATCCATTATCTGAAAAATACCGCTAAAAGAGGCCAATACGAACAGGTAACCTGATAACGGTGCTCCATAAATCAACTAGCTTTTGAGTCATAGAAAGCCACTAGAAATAGTGGCGCGCTACGCTGCGCCGGTCGATAATGTCATTGAACAATTAATATATAATTGCTCTAAGGTCCAAGAGAACTACAAACTAAACATTGAATTAAGCATAACAGCCACAACACGTCACAGAGGCTTACTAATTACCATCAACCTGTATACAAAACAAAAGGTTGTAAATTTGTTTTATTAGTTACGAAATAATTTCAGCACATTTTACACTGGTACACTCCAGCAATGAAATGCACTCACCCAACATCTAAACTACTCTTCCCCACTGATGGAAAGTATATTAGATATACTTTGTGTTGCATATATTACTGCTGAAAACTCCCTCCCAAGTAGTCCTACAACAGTAAAAGAAAGAAGATTAGTCTATGCTTGCTGATGACAATGGTTTGAAGGTTGACAAATTAAGCAATGAATTTTACAATCCCATAGGAAAGTATACTACAGTTATCCTACATTCAGTCAAAATTACAACACCTTTTGGGAGCTCTGTTATCTCTCTGTCATATCAAGTTATCAATAGTAGGGTGAAAGGAACAACCACGCAGTTGCGATGCCAAAATAACTTTTCTTGCTCAAATTTTGAGGTGCTAGTGCTAGTAAAAGTGTTTTCCGCATTTAAGAGAAGAAAATGGATAGGCATATGGTTGGATTGGAAAACTTTAGCTATGGGGTAATTTACTCTACATATTTGAGAAAACTAATTAAGTAACAAATTTTTATTTCGATGCTGAATTTGAAAAATAGAACATATCAGTCGGCTAGTTCGTACAATTGCTTCCATGTAGGAAAATACAATATGTCAAACAATAGTGAAGTATTATCAAAACAGCTTTAAGTTCAGTTAACCAATAAATTTGAAAGTAGCAACAGTACCAAAACACATATGTCCTGACAGTATAAGTTGGCGATCTGCCTTAGTATGGATTTGTGCCCTCACACGTGCTCTTTGCAAACACCTAGAACATTGTCCCTCTTTAAAAAGCACATTATGCATATCCTCCTTGCAGCCAAGTTTAGAAAATAAATTGCTGATTCAATATTAAGATGCAAAATTGGGATCAGGGGATATTCATAGATTGATCCAGATTTTTATTTAATGATGGATAAAGATGGTACCAGTCAGTAGCTGCATGATGTAGGAGACGGTGATGGCCCCAGCAGCTGAGTTGATGAACTCGGCAGACTGTTTGTCGAAGTAATGAATGACGACTTGAACTATGTAACTGAACAAAATGGTATTCATGCAAATGGGGAATGATGGAGTGAGGGTGAAGTAGAAGAAACGGGGTTGGAAGGGAAGAGTGGGCATAGGTGTTCACCTTGAAAGGAGAGACGGTAGATCAGCTTGTCTAAACAACAGCAACGCCTGATGATGGAGACGGATACGCCTTGGATGGTTCAGGAGTTGGGATCCGGAAGGCTCAAATGATTCACATGAGATGGGGAAACACCACATCTCAAGCTCAAGCTCGCAGACCGTCGAGATGATGCTATGTACTCCCTCCGTTTCACATCTATCTAGATTCATTAACATTAATATGAATGTGGGAAATGCTAGAATGACTTACATTGTGAAACGGAGGAAGTATTGATGATGCCCCTATGGCAATCGATGTGGGACGAACTGCCATCGATGGGCCGACGACGATGGAGGAAAAAACCTGCGAGGGCGCGAGAAGAGTGGGAAGAAGAGAAGGGGAGGGAAAGAAAGGGGCACGCACGCCATGCCCTCACTCCGTTGCGCGAGGCGGAGAGCCGGCAGCGTGCGCCGATGCGTCGCTGTCTGCCCACGAGAGGGCTACGGCAGCGTGGCGGCGGATGAGGCCATATGCGAGCGGGCCGCGAGCGCTGCTAGGGTTTTGGCTGTGTGGGGATATGTTGGGAAGATCTTGACCGTCTGTTGTCCTCTCGTCGATCTGATGGTGGTGGAAGAGCCGGCACCGTAGGCCAGGTGGACGACTGGATCGATCCCAATGCGGCATCGAACAGCGCCATGGTAGGTGAAACTCGGACGTGATTAACCGGAAGAACGGGGTTCGAACGCGATTAACCGGAACAACCGGGTGTTTTTTTGGAAAAAAACCGATGACGTGGCGCCCTAATTTTCCAGCACTCCCACGACGTTTAGAGAGATTAATATGTGTTAGGCTCTGTTTGGATATTTTGGCTTATTGATAAATTATTTTCTTAACGTTGCAAATGATAATATCGTTGTGTTCTAAAACTCTGGAATAATTAGTACATGAACGATAGTCATATAAAATTATATGATATATAATGATATAATCCTTTTTTATTTTTAAATTGTGTTGGCACACATCAAAACCTCTTAGATTTTAGCAATGACCTCCATGAAAGCTATCACACTCTGGATGTGTTTAGTTCACGCTAAAATTGAAAGTTTAGTTAAAATTGGAACGATGTGACAGAAAAGTTGAAAGTTTATGTGTGTAGAAAAATTTTGATGTGATGTAAAAGTTAAAAGTTTGAAGAAAAAGTTTGAAACTAAAGACCTCTGTACGTAGCATATCTAGCAAGAAAGAGTATGTTGGTGCTAGCAGTCAATGCTAGAGCTAGCAAGGCCCAATTATCGTTTGAAACACACACGAATAATCTTGACCCAATGAACACGCTGCGTTAATGATCCACACGGAACGATCGCAATCGGGGTTTAAAGGGACGCAATGTATATAGTACGTTTGACTAGAAAAAATATGCTACTCCCTCAGTTTCATAATATAAGGGGAGTTTTTGTTTACATTGTTTGACCATTCGTTTTATTAAAAAAAATTAAAATTATTATTTATTTTTTTGACTTATTTTATTATCCAAAGTATTTTAAGCACAATTTTTTGTTTTTTATATTTGCACAAATTTTTTTGAATAAGACAAGTTATCAAACAGTATAAATAAAAATTCAAAATTCCTCGTATTATGAGATGGAGGGAGTACTACTCCTGTACGTTCACGAGAGGTTAACACACATGCTCCCTCGAATCGAAGCTAGTAATAACCCAGCAGAGAAAGTGATTGTGATTGACGGCGATGCTTGATTTCTGCTGACCTTGTAGCTGATCGATCAGCCTCTAAATTTGACCGGCCGCCGGCGTGCACACGGTGATGTGCCTGTCGCCGGCGGCGTCTGATATGCGTTTGTTTTCCTGTGTCTGTCTGTGGCCGAGTTTAGTTTTAATTTTTTTTAAACTTTTAACTTTTTTATCATATCAAAACTTTTCTATACACATAAACTTTCAATTTTTCTATTATATCATTTTAATTTCAACCAAACTTCTAATTTTAGACTGTTGACACGCAAAAACTGAGCTATACCAACACTGGGCAGTTCAACTGCTCACTAATTCCTCTGCATTTATTTTTTTTTTTGGGGGGGGGGGTGTGGGGGGTAGGACGAGTACAGGGCAAATTAAACAGAGTGCATGGGGTCATAAGTCCATAACTTTTTCCTAGCAGATGTCACTACAGTTCACATTGGAGTACAGAGCTCTTCTATCATAATAAAAGAAAATGGAGAAATACGAATGCATTTACACATTAATCGATAGAGTTTTTCTCCAAGAGATTTGAAGGCTTGTCCGGATCGAAGGGTTTACGTGAATTTTTTCTACGACTCATGATTCCTTTGGATTATCTATTGTTCATGAGTTTGGTTTGTAGGAATCACCCAAAAGGAATTTTCAAGGAATATTGTAGCATTCTAATAAAAACACAGGAGTTTCAAAGAATTCCAAACATCCACTCTAACCACTTTTTTTTTCATTATTAGCTGCCACAGGATGGAATCATATATTCTAATCCTCTATTTTCTATTCTTGCGTCTTAATATCCAATCCTAAAAAAAATCCTCTGTTTTCTAATTCTCATTTCTCACGTGCAACCCTATCATGTTTCTACTTTTTTTTCTTTTCTGTTCCTGTGTTTTTTCTAACATGTGTTCTGAATGAGCCCTGAGTGGACAAGTAATTTTCTTTGTTTTCTCTTCACAACTTGTATGAAAGGAAATTTTTCTTTAGGTTTCCTGTACCTTATTCTTACAAATTGAATGACACTTATAAGAATTAATCCTTATAAATCCAAATCATTTGCTTTTCCCTTAGACCGAAGAAGCTCCAAGTTGTGAGTTGCAGAGGAGGATAGCTTAGAAAGAAGGTGGCTTGGGTTATTTGCCAACTGAGTGTACTAAATTATTTCTGTTTTGCCATTTTAACTAGCCAAGTCAGCAATATGGATGAGAAATGATCTTTCTGTTCTCATCTTGCCCTGTTCTTTTCTCCAACAAAAGTTGGATAAACTTTTGGATACTCATAGCACGCTTTTTAAACTACTAAATAGTGCGTTTTGTGCGAAAACTTTCTATGTGAAAGTTGTTCTAAAATATACAATTAATCGATTTTTCAAGTTTATAATAATTAAAACTCAATTAATCACACGTTATTACCACCTCGTTTTGCGTAAAATATTTAATCTTCATATTCAGGAGATTCAAACACCACCACGTTTAGTGCATAATTAATTAAGTATTAGTTAAAATAATTTTTAAAGTAACTTTAATATAATTTTTTTTATAAAAAATGCACCGTTTAGCAGTTTAAAAAGCGTGCCGTGGAAAATGTTTAACACTGTTGTTGACTTTTTTAAATATTTTTGACCGTTCGTCTTATTTAAAAACTTTTATGAAATGTGTAAAACTATATGTATACATAAAAATATATTTAACAATAAATCAAATGATACGAAAAGAATTAATAATTACTTAAATTTTTGAATAAGACGAACGGTCAAACAATTTAAAAAAAGTCAATGACGTCAAATATTTTGGGATGGAGGGAGTATATTGGTACCGGATAGGAGACAACTATATATACGCTGTGAGGGACACATATATGCGGTTTACCTCCATCTCCGGCGGCGTCTCGATCATCGACCACCGGCGGGATGGATGGAATCGACAGAGAGATCGACCCGGTTTTTCAACGGCGAATACGGCCGACGACGACTTGTTCCCATCCATCCATCGGGATACGGCGGACGCGTTGAATTCCGGGGCCGATTGTTTGACCCTCAAACTCGATCGCCCCCACACACACCACATGCACACTCTCGTCTTAGGTAGTGTTTGAATCCAGGGACTTACTATCTTCGTCCTAAAATAAGTGTAGCCGTGAATATCCGTGCCCAACATTTGACCGTCCGTCTTATTTGAAAAATTTATGAAAAATTTAAAAATATTTAGTCACACATGAAGTACTATTCATGTTTTATCATCTAATAGCAATAAAAATACTAATCATAAAAAATTTTCAAGTAAGACGAACGATCAAACGTTGAACGTGAATAGTGTAAAACTGCACTTATTTTGAGACGGAGGGAGTAACTTTAGTATATGTATTTAGACACTAATTTAGAATATTAAATATAAATTGCTTACAAAACTAATTACATAAATGAAAGCTAATTTGCGAGATAATTTTTTTAAGCCTAATTAATCCATAAATAGAGAATGTTTACTGTAGTATCACATAGGCTAATCATAAATTAATTAGACTCAATAGATTCATCTCACGAATTAGTCTAAGATTATGGATGGGTTTTATTAATAGTTTACGTTTAATATTTATAATTAGTGTCAAATATCCGATGCGATAGGGACTTAAAAATAAATTTTAGTCCTATCTAAACAGGATCTTAGTTCTTTCAGCTTAATTAATTACTGGTTTGGACTTTCTCTGCGAGCTTGATTAATTAGTGTGTCCGTGGACATCGATCATATGTGAGTTAAAATTAACTTGGTCGTCGTACTTTGGATCAAAGATGATCGGGGATAATTACGGTCCAATCAACGCGTGTTTCTTTCGTTTATTTAACGTTGGGTTACGTACCATGGAGGAGATCACGTCAGTAAATTGATATACTACTTATCATGCATGGTCTGGATGTGGTTAATTATTCAAACCACTTTTAACTTATCCTCTTGATGAAACTCTAGGTAGCTAGCACTAGCTACGATGCTTAATTAATCCCATCCTCTCTCACTAGCTTGGCGAACATTTGAGATAAAGGAGGGTGAGATGTGGACACATGCACGCAACAAAATACTTACGGCATCCGTCTCAAAATAAATACAATTATACATTTAAATTTTAGAGTAAATTACATCGTCGGTACACAAACTTATCAGGTGGGTGCAATCTAGTGCACAAACTTATAAAATACTCGTTTTGGTGCACAAACTTGTGTGGTGCGTGCAGGGGAAGTCAAAAAGACACTATATGACTAATCCTATTGATTTAGGGGCTGATTAGGATGCTATGTAAACACACACACACACACACACATATATATATATATATATATATATATATATATATATATATATATATATATATGAGAAGGTTACCACTAGACATACACATATTCAATAAAATATAGAATATAATTTAGTGATAGTAGAAAAACATTAAAAATATCAAGCACTGATATAAGGGTTAGAAACATATAAAATTCATCATCTCAATGATGAAGGATAAAGTAGAGACTAAATTTATAAATATTGCATGTCTTATGCATACTCGCTACAGGTATACACGTCGCATCCTAATCAACATCAACTTCATAAAATTGACATTGCCAAGTTATTTTGATCCTCGTTCGCACGAACTAGACAAGTTCATGTACTGAAACAAGCATTTTTTACAAGTTTATATACTAAATTACACCCACCTAACAAGCTTGTATACTATCAATGCAATTTTATCTCATCAATAACATCTGAGTCCTCATATTACTCTCAATCAACCTTATAACTTCCTACCATCCTCATTTAATATGGGACACCTAAGCTGTAACTATTTTTCTCTCCCACTCCTAAAATTGCACTTATATTGCAATTTTTTTTACTAACAGTTTTTTTTAAAAAGTTAATAAGCTTAGTACTAGCTAGCTTACACAGAGTTAAGCTTTACTATATCATGAACTACATATCTATATACCATATATATGCCCCTACAAAGAGACCATAGAAAAGTAAACAAAATCGATCAAAAACCGATGGCCGGCCGGCAAGCACGTCAGGGTATATTAGGACCATGCATGCTTCGTACGTACGTATAGTACATGCCTACATGGTAGTAATATATATGCACGATCCACTGGTGGAGAAACCATTTATACTTCCAGTTGGTAACTTCTTTTAGTCCCGGTTTTTCAACCCGGACTACGAATCCGGGACTAAAGACCGGTTGAAATAACCGGGACTAAAGATCTATCTTTAGTCCCGGTTGGTGCCGGGACTAAAGGTCTCTTTTTTTTCATTATTTTTTAGCTAGAGTTTAATCCCTATATTTTCTCCCAAATCAAGTGGGATACATATCCCCAAATCAAACCTCAAATCAAAATAACATCCCAAAACATTCACATCACAAATCTTAAGTTACTTATACACACAAATCAAATACATCACAAATCTTAAAAAAATTACACACAAACCAAATACATCACAGATTATACATCTCAGATCATGCAACAAATCACAAAATTATACATCTTAGTGAATCACAAATTGTAAAAAAAAAAAGATGCCGGCAGCGGCTGCCGCCTGCCGCTGCTCGCCACTGGGCCCGTGCGCGGCCCAGCCAGCCGCCTGCTGCGTGGGAAGGGAGGAGGGGGAGGAGGAGGAGGAGGGAGATCGATCTGAGAGGGAAGAGGGGAGGAGGAGAGGGAGATCGATCTGAGCGGATGGGAAGGGAGGACGGGGGGAGGAGAGGGCTGGGGATGGGAGGAGGCGGAGGGGGAGGAGGAGAGGGAGATCGATCTGAGAAGATAAGTGCGAGGCGGTTGTGGAGGAGAGGATAGGGAAGAAGGATTATATATTAAGCGTTGAATTTTAGTCCCGGTTGGTGTTATCAACCGGGACTAAAGATCTAGAAGTTGATAACACCAACCGGGAGTAAAGTTAGGATCTTAACCAATCGGGACTAAAGATCCCGGAGGACCTGACAAGGCCTGACAGATTTAGAACCAACCGGGACTCAAGATCAAATATGCCCACTGTAGCCACCAACCTCATCTTTAGTCCCGGTTTTTAGTGGAACCGGGACTATTGTGGATTTCGGCCAACTGACCAAAGATGGTTTCTCCACCAGTGATCCATCGATATATACAAATTTTCGGCTACCGATCGAGACGGAACAAATTAAGAGTATAAATCCCATAACAGCTATTTGAATTACTTCTTTCATTTTAAAATATAGCAACGGCCCAGTGACAGAGAAAAAAATATGAATTTCTCTAATTTCCACCTGATTGTATTGATCTCTAAATCCTACTATATATTGTTCTTAATTACAATCTAGGGAGAGAGTATAGTGTTTTGAGAGAAGGGGCCTTAATTATATCCAGTTTGGCTAGCTGGTTACATTGGCTCATGGAATCTTGTGTGTATGGCATATATTTTTCATGTTTGGCAGTGATCATTCACACTCCAATATAGGTTCACCTGGACGCCACAAGATTTTGTACTACTCTATCACTATTACATACTATAGAAAGGTCCCTATAGATTGCAGATGGACCAAACTAATCATGCCTGAAAAAAATCGACCTTGATTTTTGTACGCAACTCTTTGAGAGGCCTGCATGCAAAAATCTATTTTCACATGAGAACCTCTTAAAAAGCAACAGTATGCAAAAATAAATATATTTTCTAATATAGATCTCTTAAAAGTCTGTCTAGAATTCTGACTTACCTCATCTTTTTTCCAACTCATCATCCTTATCTCCTCTCCTCCTCTCTCACCTCCTCTCATATTAATTCTTCCTCTCCTCCACTCCTCTCTCTCTCTCTCTCAATGGTCGGCGGCGGGTGGCTACAGCGAACTCGAGTAGTAGCGGCTAGTGGCGGCGCCCGGCCACCCTGGGAGACAGCGGTAGTGGCGAGGCTGTCCCCTACCCGGATCCACGCGGATCCATCAGCGGCGGTGAGAGGAGCCCAACGGTGGACTGGATTTTTATTTTTACGTGCGGACGACATATGCATTTGCACGCGTATGCAAGTACGTCACCCGTATGGAAAGATAGATATTTTTGCAGATATTTTCGGACAGACAGACGGCTCAACCGCACAAAAAATAGTTTTTAGCCGTTTGGAAAAATGCTTTTTTAAGTAGTGTGTACTTCAATATATATTTTAATATGGTAGGATATCTAGTCCAATAATAATATATTACAAGAAAAATTATAGTCAAATTTTAATTCAAAAGAACATGACAAAGTCAAACACTGTATACATAAAAATAGGCAAGGAAATATATATTTCCCACCCAATAAAAACCAAACAATCCAATCCATAACAACCGCTGCGTTTTTAGACTTAAGCACGCTCCCTGAAATGCTAGCCTGCTAATTCTTGTAAGGAAGAAAAAAGGCACGCAGATGTTGAAGCTAAGCTATAGCTATAGCCTGTTAATCATAATTAAACTTGAGTTGCTATCCTCCGAAAAAAAATATTAGAGTTGCTGAATGCCTCTAGCATAGTTAAGAATATATAGTGGCCTAAATTAATGGTTGGAGTGTCCAACTTGAACTGTTTGATACCTGAGCCGAAAAACTATAGCTCTTTCCATATTAGGCACATGCTTAGTTAAAGCCTTCGAGTTGTGTGCATTACGTCACATGCAAACAATGCAGGCCAATTAATTGCACGTGAAAATTCGACCGAATGAATCGTGCAACGTTGAAATCCTATTCTCAAGCATACACAAAAGAACTTCAATCTCTACGAACCGACGATACTTTAGTTGATAAGGTTTCTTGGCAGAATTTGTTCATTGGCAGCTCAAGTTCTAGAGTGAGTACAAGTACTCATATTTATGATTATTTATTTTTTTTTAGTAATGAGCGATGTACTAATCAGCTACAAGACACAAGTAATTTTATCAATTTTAAGTTATATCAATTATTTGTATAAGTACATGTAAGCCCCTACTCATGAGCCAAATGATGATCAGTGGTTTGCAGGTCACCTCGGGCTCGGTTCGTTTCACAAACGAGCTACGAAAGAGGCTTGAGCTTAGCTCATTTGGCTTTCAAGCTGAGCTGAGCCGAGTTGGTCAAACGGGCCTAAGCTTTTTATCCACCTATGTTCGTGTGTAACTTTTAGTACTAGTATATTTATGTTACCGCTATTCATTCCACCACAGATCTAATGGTTGAAAATGGTTACACCACATGTCAAGTCACAAGTAGGGAGATAAAACATTTTGGGTAGTAAAATAGGATCCCATCTCGCTCATGACGATTAGTCCTTTTACTTAGTCATATAGCCCATTGCCCCACATGTCCTTGGTTTTGCTCTCGCGGGGATGAGAAGACATTGAATTAGGTTAGGCGGTGAAGAAAATCTATGGAAGGAGACTCCTACCAAGAAATCTCCTTGCTGGTAGTCTCAAGAGGTGAACACGGAGCTTAAAAAAAACATTGCTAAAGGCATTATAAGAGAGATGATGGTTCTTAGAGTTGAAGAATCAAGGAAAGAAACGAGATATAGGAAAAGGCTAACCAATGGAGAAAGATGATATAGAGTTAGCGATAGAGAAGGCTATGAAAGGGAGGCACCGATACACCAGCCACTAGAAACGAACAAGGAAAGGGAAGAGTATTGGAGAAGGTGTTATCACAAAAGTAGAATTGAGATCCCTCTACCTTCTGTCTTTAAACGCACTGTGTTTTAATCACTGACATATGGGTCAGTGATTTATTAGGCTTACACGTCAGTGACAAAATTAAAGTCGCGTGACTTCAAAACTAGAGGAGCTTGATCCTCATAGAGTGATACCTTGGAAATACCCAGAGCTACCTCCTCCAAAAGCAAAACCCCAAAAACATTTTTTAAAAAAACACGTATACAGCCAAAATACGTTACACGGTGGCCTAGCCAGTATATAAGTTGAATTGAAGCCTTGAAGGTATATAGGCAACTGGTTAGACTTTTTTTTCCCTTTGCCCATAATAAAGCCATCTCTCATAAAGCCATCGACCTCATCTCCTCCTCCTCCTCTCTCTGTCTCTCTCTGGCTGTTCTTATCAGTTTACGTTGTCCTCATCGTCGCCGGCGCCGCCCTCCAAAGCTTCATAGATAGCTCGATCGATCGATCCCGTCGTCGTCGATCGTCGTCGACGCAGCAGCCTCGCCGGCGGCCGGAGACTGGGGAGATCGATCGAGAGGGAGGGAGGTTGAGTAAGGTGGATCCACGGGTCAGGCATGGCAAGAGGCCCCTACCGGCCGGCGAGGAGGAGGAAGAAGACCAGCCACCGCCTCCGACACCACCAGCAAAGCAGGAGCAGCAGGACGAGGAGGAGCTCGCCGCGGTCGTCATCAGCGGCGGCGGAGCAGGAGCAGCTCCGGCGCCGGAGACGTACGCGCAGTACTACTACGCGGCGCGCGCCGACCACGACGCCTCCGCCATGGTCACCGCGCTAGCCCACGTCATCCGCGCCGCCCCCGACCTGCACCTCCCCCACCACCCATCCTCCTCCGCCTCCGCCGCCGCCCACCCGCAGCAGGCTTCTTCCTTCTACCCGACCGCCGCCGCCGCCGCCTCCTCGCCGTCCGACCAGCTCGCCGCCGCCGCCGCTGCCGAAGAGCAAGGTACCAGCTGATCCATTCACCGCACAAGTAAATTCCTCTCTCTCACCGCGCCGCGTGCCACGCCCCGATTGCGAAAGCATGGCACGCGCGAGCGCGCCATAATTTGGAAGCTTCGCATCCGCCAACGCCAACGCCCACGCCGCCGTCTTCCTCGTCCTACGTTAATCCCCATGGCTCTAGCTAGCTAATTACCGGGTTAAGTAGCTTCGAAGCTTGCAATGCATGCTTAATTAGCGGTAATTGATCCATAATTAATTAATTAGTTGAACCAAACGAGGGTTAATAAGTTAATTAACTCCCAAATCGTTGCCTATTTCGTGCCGGAAGATACGCTAAATTAATAGCGCCATGTGAGTATTTTATGCACACACCGTATTACGTTATCCCTGACGATCGAAGGGGGAGTCCGAATTAGTCACGGATTAATTAGCAAGTTGCAGTATTATTATTATTATTATGGGATTAATTAGTGGGAATTAATTAGCTTAGTGTGTTTTGGTGGGTGCAGGGAGGAGGCGGCACTACAGAGGTGTTCGACAGCGGCCATGGGGGAAGTGGGCGGCGGAGATAAGGGACCCGAAGAAGGCGGCGAGGGTGTGGCTGGGGACGTTCGACACGGCGGAGGACGCCGCCATCGCCTACGACGAGGCGGCGCTCCGGTTCAAGGGGACCAAGGCCAAGCTCAACTTCCCCGAGCGCGTCCAGGGCCGCACCGACCTCGGCTTCCTCGTCACCCGTGGCATCCCCCCCGCCGCCACCCACGGTGGCGGCTACTACCCCTCGTCGTCGCCGGCGGCGGGGGCATGCCCCCCGCCGCGGCAGCAGCAGACGGTCGTGCCGTACCCGGACCTCATGCGGTACGCGCAGCTGCTGCAGGGCGGCGTCGGCGGCAGTTACATGCCGTTCGGCGGCGCCGCGACGATGTCGTCGTCGACGGTGTCGTCCTCGTCGGCGCCGCAGATACTCGACTTCTCGACGCAGCAGCTCATCCGGGCCGGCCCGCCGTCACCAATGCCATCGTCGGGCTCCGGCTCGGCGACCGCGGCGGCGTCGTCCACGACGTCGGCGTCGTCGCCCGGTGCATGGCCGTACGGCGGCTCGGAGCGCAAGAAGAAGGATTCGTCGTCGTGACGTCACTGGATGGATCGATCGATGCATGAATATGCCATGCATTTGAGAGGAAGAGGTCAAGTTTTTTTTTAAGCAATGGAAATGGATTACATCTTCGGCCTCGGCACGTGGACAGAAAGAGATCAAGTGATATGGATCGAGAAGAATGTTTAGCTGATCTGCTCTTTACTCTGCACGATCGAGGAGATGAAAATGCATGCAATATGCATGGAGGGGTAAGTGTTAAGTGGTTAATTGGTGATTTTTGCGGGTTAATTAATTACATGGACATTAATTTTTCTTTTGATCACCTTTTGTTTATTTTTTCTCTGAAAACTATCTTCTTTTGTTCATTTTTATTTTCTTGGAGGTACTTAATTAATTAGCTAGGTTAATTAGCTGGTGATTTTTAGTTTGTTGTTTCCCTCCTTTTGTTCAAGTGTGAACTAATTGTGCAAAATTAGTCCAAGTAAAGCAAAGAGAGAGGATTCTTATTTAATTATTGGTTAAACATTACCCTTTTTTAAGATGAAACATGATGTCTTTTTTTAAAAAAAAAATCTGAATGATTACCACCTCTTTGTCTACATCTTTGGATTGTAGTGGAAGCTTCTTCTTCACTGGTGATCTCTTTGGCAGACATTGGAAATGTCCAAAGGATACCATAAATGGATTTCAGTATACCTTTAGGAATAACATTTTGTTGTTTGGTAGCATGCATGATGGGTATCAATCAAATTTAACAACCTTTGGAAAAAAATAAGGGGGAATCTTCTCCATCAGCTTCTCTTATTAAAAGATTTGACTTTTTTGTTTAGATACTTTTATCATGGTTGCAATATTGGCATCTGTTCTATCGATTTATCATCTACTTAATCCTCCAATCTCATTCTCCGCTGTAATGATATTTAAGCATGTGTCATAGTGGTATGGATGCCTTTAATGCATGTAGCATATTTCAAACTCAGAACAAGATGTACTTTTAGAAAAATTAAAGTTGGAACCGTAACAAGAATCTAGAGAAAACCAGAAAAACGCTGCAGTTTGGTGAGGACATTTTACTTTTGCAATGATGCTTTGAGGTGATGAAGATTATCCACATACCTAATAATTATTCAGTTGTAAGAAATTAAAATAGCATGAAGTCATCCATTTCTTTTTTTTTCAAACGCTTTTGTACATAAGCAACATACATATTCCATCCCCAAAGCACTATAGCCACATATATATATATCTACATATGTCTTATATCATAAAAATGCTTATAGCTAGCTTCAGGTTTTTAATGACATGAACATGCATATGCCACGTAGATCTTGAGTTAATTATAGTCAGAGGTGTGGCGTAATGATCTCAAAGTTTCTAGTGTAAATCATAAAATATGTAGATTTGTGATTTGGTGCCATGTGTCGAGATTTATTCGATCAACTTGCCGGCATGTGATGATACGAAATAAGGAGAGAACCTCTATCATGCAAGTATCATCCCCATCCCGTGCATCTAGAAGCTAATATATATGGGCGATGCATGCACCAATTCAATGCCAAATCAAATGCATTCAACTGCATTTTTTTGTATTTACGCATTTTTATATACCAGTACATCTGTCCACCCATCTATCCAGCTACATATATGAGTGACAAAAATTACAACCACACTAGCATTTGTAGATACATGTGTGTCTTTTTCTCTATAGCTAGCTTGTGATGAGAACCAAAGAGACAGATCCATGTACAAGTGTCTTGATGTAACAGAGATCATCATTATACATGATTTGTTTCCATTAGGTACGTATCTCTTTCTTAATTTTCTCTACTATTGGTTGCATGAAACTTATTATATATATAACTATTCCAATTAACTAGGTTTATTTAATTTATACCTGTCTTTTAGTTTGTTCACACTGGGTGTGATTGATGGTGCTGTGGTGTGTTTGCCCTTTTTCTCTCCTTTACTTTCATGATGGGAACAAGTATCAAAATTTGACACGCACATTTTTTTTTTCTTTTTGCCAAATGCTACTGCTACCTGGCAGCTAGCGGCCGATCGAACTCGAGCAGAAAGTGCCAGCAGCAAGCAAGCTAGCTTTCGTGTTAGGCATGACTCATGCCTGTTTTGATTTTCAACACATATCATTTATCGAAACAGAGAAAAAAAAATTAAAGAAAACGAGTACCATGCATGCCTAATTATCTCTAGTACTAGCTTTTTAGGCGCACTATTGTATATTGTGTACTATGAAAGTATCGTGTTGTTGAGATGGATGGTCTTACACGTGTGCGCCATGCTTGATTACTTGTGTGTGATTGGCACCTAACTTGTGTGTGATCGATCGTGTCATCGTCCTTTGATAGAGAGGATAAGACGCTTCTCTCATCATCATCTCAGCTGGTCTAGCTCTCTGCCTAACTAGCCAAGAGTACCTAACTTAATTGGAGAATGTTCTCTCTTAATTGTATTGGCATGTTTCAAAGTCACTTGAGAATTAGGTTAGAGTGATTTTCAAGTGAAATTTAGAAACATATCGAAGTATATATGTATGCAACATTAGTTAATATAAGAAGTTTCAAGTGTAATTTAATTGGATACAATTTAGTGCTCCCTCCACTTTAAATTTATGATGCTCTTAATTTTTTAACCATACATTTTATCATTTATCATTTATTTTGATATAAAGCATAACCATATTTTTATATTTATATACAACTTTTCTTTTAAAATAAAACGAATGGCGAAATATATGTAAAAAGTAACAATGTTATATATTTAAAAGTAGGGGTAATATATGTACATAACGTTCCGGGTCAGAATAATATGAAGTTTTTGGGTGCTCTAGGCACAAATTTTGACAATTTGACCCTTTGCAAAAACTATTTTTACAAATGAACCGCTGTCAAAACTTATTTCAAATCTGACCCTTTTGCTCAACACCAAATCATGTGGAGCTGAATTTAGACACCTTAACACCAAATAGTATGGCGCTGAATGTACGTTGGCACGCTGACTTAGTCTCCCATCCATCGTGACACAGCATTTAGCGCCAGCTGACGTGGCGCTGAGGTGTCTAAGTTCAGCACCACATGATTTGGCGTTGAGCAAAAGGGTCAGATTTGAAATAAGTTTTGGTAGTGATTCATTTGTAAAAATAGTTTTTGCAAAGGGTCAAATTGTCAAAATTTGTGTGCTCTTAGGCCTCTCGTTTCATACAAGCTAAATGAGATTGCAATTCAATATATGGGTTTGCAGCCATGCACAACTCAGTAACTGATCTTTAACGGATAACTCATTTATTCTAGTATTTTTAGAGTTTGCTATTTTACTACTCACATTCTTATAATTACATATTAGAGGCAAACGATCGCGAGTACACTCACGTACACATTTACCCATGGATATATATATGTCCTATATAAATTATACACACACACACACACACAAAATCTTCACCACCAAATCCACTCACCTGATATGTACCACATCATATGGATTTAAATTATTTAATTATAAGATAAATTTAAATATCCATGCTAAGCCTGTGACTGTGTGACTCAACTACAATGAACGGATTTTACCACAAACAACTCAAAAGGACGAAGCTATTATCCTCGATTAACTTTGGTGCTAACTGCTAATTAACGTTAGTTCTGATCAAGCACGTACGCCAAATATTAATTGGCAGAAATATATGCATGTGTTTGATTTAATAGACACGGTATATATACAACTGTCACTTTTTTCGTCCTGTCATTTTCTTTCGAGGAACCACATATTTTGACCTCTACCGATCTTTTTTCCCTTGGCATGCATGTGTCGATCTCGCTTCGCTTTTTTGACAGAATATGCATATATGCATAGAATTTTAATAGGAGAGATATCTCGTCTCGCTTTGCCACTACACCTTTTTCTTTTTTTCATTATTGTCCGATCCGTGTGCCTCTTAATTTCTGATCTTTTTTTTCCTCGAAATGCAGTACATACACAGATACTAGTATAAACGTGTGCATCCTTATTTATATGAACACACATACATCCTACCTCTGTACGAACGTAGATATCTACTCGCATGAAAAATAATTACAAGGGCTACTATGTGTATCGCGTAAAATTATATATCTAGTATTGAAGAAATTAATATTATACTTCTAGAGTTCTACTATACTTCCTTCGTTCAAAAAAAAAAAAAAAAGGTCAAACTAGAAAGGGACGTGAAAAACCATTGAGACGGAGGGAGTATGCATGTACGGGGAAAAAAGATATACACGTACTTATGGAGTTTGTAATCGGTGACCGGTAATTAGATCAAGATTTCTTTCATTTCTTTAATTAATTTCCAGGAACACACATGCAGGCTGCGTAGACGTACACTACTTTTCCTTGAGAGTATAGATACGTTAGCTTCTCCAGTAGTGGAATATATTTGTACTAACGTATAACACTACTATACGTAACCATTAGTGCTAGTAATACGTAGTACTCCCTTCCCTCCGTTTTTAGATATTTAACATCATTGATCTTTTAACACATGTTTTAAATACTTTTGTAAAATATGTAAAACTACATGTATACATATAAGTATATTTAATAATAAATCAAATGATAAAAAAAGAATTAATAATTACTTAAAATTTTTAAATAAAATAAACGGTTAAATATTTAAAAAAATTAACGGCATAAAATATTTAGAAACGAGGGAGTATTAATTATACTTGTATGTATACGCAGGAATTGTATACAGTGTGGACGCATGCAGCCGACTACTACTACATACGTATCCGAGCGAGTGACAGACGGACACCTAGCTTCGAGGTGGGCCAAGCTATATGCACGGGCCCACCGGCCAAGCAGGCCTGCGGATACGTGGGGCCCGTTTATCCTCACAGGTGGGCCCGGAGTGACAGGCACGTGAAGCCGTGTGCCGCCCCACGTGCGCGTGCGGCCGGAAACGCGTACACGACATGACGCGTGTTGCAGTGCAGTGCGCGCCACAGCGGATTTCTTCGATTTTTCTTCCTCTCTTTTCTATTTTTATTGAAAGGCCGATGGGTTTAAAACATGGCCCCATTCATCCTATAATATAAAGGATTATTCTCTTTTAGAAAAGATTAAGGATAAAAAGAAAAGACTACAATACCCCTATTGAATGTGATTTTGATTGTAGTGAGTGGGTAGTTGAAGGTTAAAATAGGTATAAATTTGAATTAGAATTGATGGATGTGACAAGAAGTATAGCAAAATCTCTTATATTATAGGACTAGTAGTAAAGATAAAATCCCTTATATTATAGGATGAAGGAAGTAGTTGAACTTTGCATGCCGATGTTTGACGATGTGCATGATGGACAGTGCACAGTACTTCAGTGGAGAACTCATGTAAGTTATTTATTTTACTTTTTCAACTTTATCTTTCTCTTTTTACCTTCCTAAACTGCTAAATGTGTTTTTTAAAAAGATTCCTATAGAAAAGGTTTTTCAAAAATTATATTAACCCATTTTCTTATTTTTATTGAGCTAATACTTCATTAATCATGTATTAATGCATACATTGTTTTCCGTGCCAGAAAAGAGGAGTTCCCAACCCCTTCTCCCAAATACAACCTTATTGTACTGAATAACATTCTGTTAAAGGTATTATTAGCTCACATTATTAGCGTGATATACAGTAGTGTATCGGGTTGTATTGTAAAGATATTAGTATTATTGTGGACATATATTTCGATGGTTTAAAGGAGGTTGGTTACGAAAGAGTTTTGTGTTTTAGCCCTTGCTTTTTTTTAATCTTGTCCTTAAATTTTAATATTCATTTTTACAGACCAAATATGCAATTCAAATCCTATATCCATAAAGCAATTCATAAACATGTTTCTGGCTGGTCCATCGAACAAAATATGCATTTATTTTTTTCCCCTATTCTTCACTCTTTCTTCTCCTTTTCTACCCATAAAATCTCTGATCCCTTTTCCTAGCTAAGTCGCGGGCTGCATACGAGTATGGCAACAAACTATTTGTTACTTGTAACGACCAGGCACATCTCCCTTTCTTACACACCAACGACATCCTACTCTCTCCTGAACAGCCAACATGGGACGACCTCAACATGCACATGTTGCCTCTCCATCACGAATCATTGCCACCTTAGTCAAGCTCGCTAGATTTGGCAAAATTGTCGCTCTAGTCATCGACCTTTTACCCATGTGGTCTTGATCGATGTCATTGTTCTCCTATCTAGTGGTTGTGGCGGTGGTCATGGAACTCTATTGGTCATTGATAGTAGTGTCTCGCCAACCGTTCTATTTTTTCTTGTGCGGACGAATAGTTGCATACAACCTCTTCTTCGCCTTTCACTATCTTGACTGGTTGATTTTTTTTTCTTCCAACTTAATTAATAATTGGACCTAGAAGTCACAACGACACAGCTGATCCACACTTTCTTCCCTCAGGTTGTCTAAACCTATGTGATAGGCAATGACACTTGTGGCCCCATCGTTTGTCTTTTTCCCTAATAAGCCAAAACGGCTTATTAGGGAATAAAAATAAATTTGTAGGTAAAACTTTTATATATATGTTTTTGGTGACTTAAAAGCCAATGTAAAAAAAACTATGTTGAAAATATTTCAAAATTTAGCTTGTAAAACTTTTAAAATTAAGTTTGTAAATTTAAAATTTAGCTTTTTCTTTGGTTGATTAGGCCATCCGATGGGAGCCTCCACTTGTTTTGAAAATGCTTTCTAAGGCACCGTTTGGCATTACTATGGTTCTGGTAATCTTGTTTGCCAGGTGCATCAATTTT